TTGATTGGTTAATTATCACGGGAAATCACGGGTAGATCTACAAAAATTAACCAATCATACGAATGTCTGCCTATGAATGGTGACCCGTCGCTATAAAATAACGCCCCTTAAATATATATAATATATTAAGTTTTATTATGTAAACACTTGAATACAATACAAAACAAGCTTGATTTGCACTTCTTCTAATCGCTCTATTTGTTTTTGATACTAAAAGAACTGAATTAGTTTTCTCGTATATGCTACTAGAATTTTTGCTAATGCTAGTTTTGATTTAAAATTTGAAAAACTTATTTTTTGCTAGTTATACAAATTCGTGCAACATAATCTATTGGTTGATTGTGTCGATCATCTAAAAAAGGAAATTTGAAAAATAGATCGGTAAAATTAGTCACCATCATTTCGTGAAGTTAAACTACTATTATTAACGTTAAATTTGAATACACGCGAATATGGCAGAATATTTAGCTTCGATCTACGGCACAGAAAAAGACAAGTTGCGAATTTAAAGAATTATATATATGTATGCTTTTTTTTTTTTTACTCTACTGATCTTTTTATTTTTTTTATTTTTAGAGTTAATTGCTCTTTTTACTTTAAAATTGGAGCTTGTCGTCACGGTGATCGTTGTAGCAGGAAGCATGTTAAACCGACCTTTTCGCAAACAATCTTATGCTCCAACATCTACCAAAATCCCGCGCACGACACGAATTGTAATATGTCAGAGGAACAAATTCAAGCGCATTTTGATGACTTTTATGAGGATTTTTTCACAGAGTTGTGCAAATATGGTGAGGTTGAAGAGATGCACGTCTGTGATAACGTTGGCGATCACTTGATTGGAAACGTTTATGCTAGGTTTAGATATGAAGAAGATGCACAGAAAGCAGTGGATAATCTAAATCAAAGGTTTTACGCTGGTAGGTCTAAAATTTCTCTTATTCCATGTAGCATTAAACCCTTATGTCCATAAAATTCATATCTTTGTGATAAAGGACGACCAATTTACGCAGAACTTTCTCCAGTAACGGATTTTCGAGAAGCATGTTGTCGTCAGAACGAGAATGCAGAATGTACTCGAGGCGGTTTTTGTAATTTTATGCATTTGAAAGAAGTATCACGTTATTTAAAAAAGGAACTGTTTGCTGCTCAACGAAATTATTTACGAGAGCAAAGACGCGCCAATCGAGAAAAAAGTGGTGAAGACGAGTCCCATCGTTCGAGGAGTATGTCTTTAGATCGTCATAGGGATAAATCAAGAGATCGATCTCGAAGAAGCACACGACGAAATCGTGATCGTAGAGACAGTTACGACGACTATCGATATGAATATTAATATGGAGTTTATTCATTGTCTTAATGGCTTGCACGATTTTTATAGTAGAGATATTAATGCGCCTACATATTTTAGGACATTAACGAACAAAAATAATAAAATAAATTTGAATGCGATCGTTTTTTATATTATATGTATTTACTCTCTTGTTTCGATTTAGAACAAATGATATATAAAATAAATTTATTACAATCGTTTTTTTTTTATATAATATAAAGTATATTTTAAATCTTCCGTATAATATATAGTGTGAAAATATAATTATAAGTTTATTTTACTTGTTTTAAACGTTGAATCCTTTTATATGCTTCGATTGTTGGAGAAATGTTCTCAATACGAATGGCTTTCAATTCGATTATGTTTTTCGTGCCGCTTATTTTTCGGAACAATGGTTGACAGAAAAGATTGATATCTCTACCGATGATAGAATTTGTATATTCCTTTGACCAATTTCGATTGGTATTTTCAGATTGTTTCCAACTATATTCGATTTTTTTTCGTGCAGCATCCAAGCATATCTTTTGACGTGAATCATCATTAAGAGACATAAGTGCGCGAAGAACTAGTTCGTCTTTCGCAAACACCCTCGCTACTGAAGTGCCATCTCTTACTTCGAATTTTCCCTCTGCGCGAAGTTTATGTTTTACAAGACTACAATGATTTGAGCAACTATTGTTGACCAAGATTTGATCGCATATTTCACATATCCAATACACTTCCACGCCTAAAAGTTGAATTATTGTACAACGAACCAGGTAAATTGTATAAAGCTGACTCCTGTCTTGTGGAAAATCGATTAGATATGTACTCTCCAGTTGTTGGAACAACGTACTATCTTCTATGGGTAATCTATCAAGTGTTACATGAGAAATAGGTAAAGAATAACAGTATATAGTACCTAGTACGGATGTTTTAACAGCTACCAGCTTTAAAACAAGGTGCCGGCCAGGAATAATTCCAAGGGGCAAAATATATCTTGACGTAAATCCAACGTATACATCGATAACATCCATTGTGATTATATCCCGTATACGTAGTAAAATGGTCTTATCGCGTAGGTATAATTCTTCACCTCGGTAACTACTTAATATGAATTTATCAAGAAACTTGGGAAGTGTTGTTGCTATTCGATATTCTTTAGATATTAAAATTCCCCGCAATGACACAATTGAATCACAATATCTATTATTGTCATTCGTTGATTCCGTAGAATTCCCATATAAAATGTCACTTATATTTAAGATTTTATTCTCGTCTAAAAATCTCGCCTCCAGAGTTTTGTACATATTTCTGGCGGCTTCGTCAACTTGTACAACCGCCGGACCTATTATGTGATTAAATAAATCTTTGCAAGTTATAATTTCCGAATCATTAGTCGTTATATTATCTATTCTAATGCTTCTTATTTGTGCATTAACTTTACTATTTAAAAACAATTCTTTGGCTTTAGTTTCTCTCATTTGCTTCTGAATAGACTCATCATAAGCGAATTCATAAAGTGATCCAACGTGTATTGCTGGCAATAATCGCACAAAATCTTCTGAAAGATGGACATAAGTATGTTCAATGTTGACATGTTGCTTAGTGGATAAGAAAGAAATATATCTCTCCACATTCTTATCAATTTCAAATAAGATCTTAAGTTCTATTTTCACATTCATTTTTGGAATTTCTTCCTCCGATGGACCATTAACTTTTGTAGTGTGAACGTGACAAATGTGAAAAATACATCGATATAGGTTATTAGAAAAGTTTAATGGCTTTGCATAAAAGCAATAACATTTGTCGATAGCAAATTGAATATAAGTTTTTCCGGGTCGTTCTATCACAATATCATATTTGGGGATGACCCAAATGTTATTTAAATGAAAGGTATGTATCTTTTGCGAAATTGCAATATTAACAACCGAGATCTTGCATGTATGATCCTTAATTTGAAGCGTGCCATCCACACTTCCTTGAAGTATGCCCATTAAATGAAAATTTTCCAATCCAGCTTCTCGTTGCGAAATAACTTTGTACGTATATTCGTTTTCGTTTCCGTCAAATAAAGCTGGAGAAACCGCAATTTCATCGATTATTCTCATAATTTTCGATAATATGGGAAACTTTATTTCAGTGACATGGCTTGTTTTACACGTGTGACAAGAAGATTTATGGTCAAAAAATTCAGTTAATAAGTCCCTACGACGGTCCACTAAACAATGTCTTTGTAATAATTTTGATAACAAAGATCCATTCGTATCGTTGACAGCGGAAGTTTTTGTTCGTGAATCCCCTAATAAAGTCTCATCACCAAATCCGCCAGGGAATTTTTCCAATATGTCATAATAAACTGATTGAATCCATAATAACTCTGGTAAAGTGAATAACTTACTATTGTAAAGTAGTGAAAATTTGCTTTTTGGTCTTGATAACACTTTTTCCGAAATGTGCTGCTCAGTAGGAAATTTCTCTATTTGAATCGTGCTACAATGGCATGCTGCAAAAATTGCTTTAACACTATTAAAACTTGGACAATGTTCACTAGAAGAGAGCTTCCATATATCACGTTCTAACTTTAAAGGAATCGTATGTATATTATGAAGTATTAGATTCATTCCTACGCGAAATGGAAACAACGATGAATAGTGAGTAGAATGGAGTCCTAAATGCACAATGCATCTAGAGTCTAATACAAATACGCCTAATATCTTGTCCAGTATACATGTAATTGTACCCTGATATGTGAGAAGTGGAATAGATAATTCAACAGAACGCATTGACTGTTCCATCACTCGCAATTCTCGCGTGTTTAGACGTGATTGTAATTTCAGAGAGGAAATATTCGACACAATCAACGAGGAAATTTTACTTTCATCATCAATACAATGAGAAACTGTAGATAGTGTTGAATTAAACTGAAATACAGGAGTTTCTATGGATCTTAAAAAATCATCTCTTCTTAATAGATGAGTCAATATGTAAATTTTTCCAATGTTTATTGATATATAATACTTAATCAGATCATTTCCGGAAAAAATGACATAGACTTGAAAATTAGAGTCGGAAATGTCATTGAGTGTTAATACGAAACTGGCATGCAAGCCTTTGTTATTTTGCAGCACGCTTTTAACAGTTACTCTGGCAACTATGTGTGCGTTTTTTAATGGCTCGACAGACGCTGGTGTCTTTAGTTGAAGTATGTCGATTATTTTCTCAATAGACGTATCATTCCACTTTTCTTTATTTAAAATTGCTGAAGAGTTCGAACGCAATTCAACCTCAGAAACCTCTATATAATTGGATATTGTTCGCCCATTCGCTAATTTATTTAACACAAGATTCCATTTTTTCAAGACTATTTCACCAGACAACCAATGTAATTGAAAATCTAATACATGGCATTCCAATTCTCCGGTCGCGTCATAAAATACAATGGTTCCTCGCGGAAACAAAGTATCCTCAGCTTCAACAACCTCTAGGCGTCCAATTAAGACAGCCTCTGCTATTACTGGATCACAACGTGAGAGGGACAAAAGTTGCGAAATTGTCACAGTTTTGCGTGACATAACTTTGATATTGCGTATAAGAGCAATAACGATATTCTATAGTCACGCGTACGAATTTCCGCGGAATATCCACAATCTAATTCGTGCAACATTAAACACGCGTCTTTAGCAAATGTTATTTTATTCTTTTACTGTTTACTATTCATACTTTGTAAAGGTCTAAATCATGGGTATTCAAAGTTTAACTAAAGTAATTGGTGATCACTGTCCAAACGCCATCAAATCAAATGAGATCAAAAATTATTTTGGACGTAAAGTAGCAATCGACGCTTCTATGTCTATATATCAATTTTTGATCGCTGTAAGACAAGACGGGCAACTGTTAACAAGCGATTCAGGGGAGACGACGAGGTATAAATAATACTCATTGAAAATCTATAAATGAATATAGTAACATCCGAGTTTGTATTTGAATCGTTTTCTGCTGCAACCCTTAGTCATTTAATGGGCATATTTTATCGAACCATTCGCATGGTAGAAAGTGGCATAAAACCATGTTATGTCTTTGACGGTAAACCGCCTACTCTAAAATCCGGTGAAGTAAGTGACAAAATAACATTATTTCTCTTGTTTGTGCTTATTTTAATTTTACGCTTTCTGTATCAAACACAGCTTGCTAAACGTTTGGAGCGAAAAAAAGAAGCGAATAAAAAACTTGAAGAGGCACAAGAAGCTGGTTTATCATCTTTGTCTAATTTTTTTTAGCTTAAAACTACACAATTTCTTCTTTTTAATGTTGTTTATTCTTTATTATGTTTAGGTGATATGTCTAATGTTGATAAATACAGTCGACAAACTGTTAAAGTTACTAAAGAACATAACGATGAATGTAAAAAGCTTCTAAATCTAATGGGTATTCCTTATGTGGAGGTAATTTGATATGTTATTACGCTTCATTATAGTAGTCTCCATCAGGTACCAATCAATTAATATTGTTAATTTTGAAGGCTCCATGTGAAGCTGAGGCTCAATGTGCGGCTTTAGCTAAAGCCGGAAAGGTGAATATCATATATGATGGTACTCAAAGCTTTTCTCTTCAATCACTTAATGTAATCTTAATATCACCATTTTCTTTAGGTATATGCCGCTGCATCAGAAGATATGGATACTCTGACCTTTTCTACACCAGTCTTATTGCGACACATGACCTATAGTGAGGCAAAAAAAGTGCCGATTAATGAAATACATCTCAACAAAATTTTAGAGGGACTTCAGTTTAGCATGGATCAGGTATATAATTATTCAAGTGTACATTACTTTGACTAGTTCTAGTTATTGAATCAAATTAATTTTGGTATTGTTTTCAGTTTATAGATCTTTGTATTCTTTTGGGTTGTGATTATTGTGAATCTATCAAAGGCGTTGGGCCACAACGTGCAGTAGAGCTTATTAGAAAGTATAAAACCTTAGAAGGAATTATTAACAACATCGATACCAAAAAGTATCCAATACCAGAAGACTGGCAGTACGACGAAGCACGTGAACTGTTTCGCAACCCGGAAATTTTAGATCCTAATGATATTGAGGTAGCTATTTGTTTATTTATTTACTCATTGCTTACCCATTTTACAAGACCTTTTGCTCCATAAAACTCTATTTTTTTGCATTTCCAGATAAAATGGAAAGATCCGGATGTTAATGGCATTGTTGAATTTTTAGTTCGAGAAAAAGGTTTCAGGTAAGTTTATGGTATTTTGAAAGATAGAGAATTAAATATTATATAAGTTAAATTTGAATCCATATTTAAGTGAGGATCGTGTGCGGAAAGGCGTGGAAAAACTATCAAAAAATTTAAAGGCTGCGACCCAAGGGAGATTGGATAGTTTTTTTACGCAAGTTCCATCTAACGCAAATATCCCTGCGAAGCGTAAGGTTCGTCACTGAATTGATATCTATTTAAGGCAATTATTTAATAAATGATCTGAAAGTCAATATTTCATTACTTATTAGTTTGAAGATAAAAAAGATACGACGGCCAAAAAACAAAACCAAATGGTAACCGTGGGAAAACAAAAAAAT